CTCAACAATCATTGTTTTGTGGAGCTCGAACAAAGGTTAGATTTCTTTTATCTTGTTCTACTTGCATTCTTGTAGAAAGAAGGACTTCACGGCTTTTATCTGGATAGGCTGCCCTTATTTTTCCTCCAGAGTCTTGTGGGAATAGACTGCAGCAACTGCAAAAGTGCAGCCATTGTGCTTTTGAGCTGCATAATACTGTGGAGTATGAGTTTGTGTGAAACTTGGATATTAACACCTCAAAACACAAACGAACTGGAGAGAAAACAAGACTGTGTGACTAAGGGGGAGAGGAGTAGGCCTAGGGGGATGAACATAAGAAGAGAGAGAGAGAGAGAGAGACAGAGAGAGAGAAGGCAAGATACTTTGCTACAGATTCTTTGATGTTCCTTTAAATAAATTATCTCCTAGTTGAACAAATGAATGGCAATACACAAGCACACAAAAGACATGTCTCGTGGCTCTACCTACTTAGGGATGATAAAGGAAATGACACTTTCTGATGCATTTAGGTTTTTCAAAAGAAAAAAAAAATCACCTTTAAAAAACCGGAATCAACTCTCCCAAGCCTGCACTTAGAGCAAATTGTCCTCCATACTTCTACAGTCACACGGAAGCATTTGTCATTTCTGAGCAATAACTCAACCCACGCAGCCAAGACACATTATCTGACCCATATGAAGACCAAAGACTTAGTGTGAGTTTTGTATGTTTTGCTACAAGATCATCCGGAGCATTTGAAGTGAACTGGAAAAAAGAGGAGCGTTTGACTTGCAGGGTGGTGGATCAAACGGAAGTTTTTTAAGGATTGAGAGAAATTGGCAGTGGTCCTATACAGCCTTGGCAATATAAGTATCCAGCACAGAGCAAGAATATGTTGGCTTAATTTTATGGCACTGAGGGAAATTATAGCCAAATAGTCACATATATACATTCTATAGATTTTATAATGTTACATCTTCGAGTAACATTAATGAGAATAGGCCAGTTTAATGCATTCCTGGCAGCAGCCATCATTGCAATTTCATTGCAGCACTGAGTACGGAAAACAGAGATATGGCTATTTACTATCGCTACCCTGTTTAAGATTTGTGATCTGAAGAGAGGAAGACAACACATAACAAATTGATGGACCACTACAGATTTAGCCACATTGCGGAAGAAAAAAACGACAGTGCCATAGTAAAGTGGTGGGTGAGAAAAGGATTGAGGCAACAAGGCAGCGAGGGTGATGTTACTTGAAAAATGTATTCCAATACAGTTACTAAATACATGTTTAACAAAAATGTATTCAGGAACACAATGCAAGTACCACAACATTAAAGTAAGGTAAGAATTAATACCAAATATGATATTAGTATGGTATTTATGGTTTTATTTTATGTTTAATTCAAATTTCCTGATATTAGTCATCTAATGCAGCAGTCCCCAAACTTTTTTTTTTTTTTTTTTGGTGACACGTTTTATGTAAGGAAATATTTTGATGGAGGGACACAGAAATACATAAAAACCAATGACAATGATGATGATGATGATTATTATTATAAATAAATTAATAAATTACATTTGCATTACACTGCTGTTTAAATGATTATATCTGGTTTCTTTTCAATGTGCTGGTCCCATTTTAATGGAAGGATAATGGGACACAATGGCCTCATCTCATTTCTCAAATCGCATTTTTCTCGCTCCTCGCTCCTCTGGTTATATGCTAGCACCTCGGACCAGACATTCCATCGAGGAGTGAGGAGATTTACAGTAGCACGGTGGGTGGGGGTGCAGATATTTGGGGAAAATGAGACAATCGCTGCTCTGTACCACCATCTGATGGAGACGATTGCGACAGAGGAGATCACGTGATTGACGTTTGTCACAAATGCACCATCTGCATGGGAGGATTAATACACTCACCGCAAAATGTCGACTTTCCGCTTTATGTTTCAAGATGGATCAAATTAAAGTCAAACATCAAGACTGTTACTGCTTCATGACTTTGAAATCCTGCAATGCTGACTGTCCTGCTGTTACAAATCCGTTTTCATATGTCACCGTTGAGGAGCGGCAGGACTTCCGCAGATGATATATCAGATGTCCCTCGATTTGAGATAGCCCGAGGAGCCTTCAAGATGCTCGAACCTCACACCTCAATGCACATTTATGACAACTGAGACACTCCTTAATATGGCAGCGTGACAACAACGTCTGGGTCGCTATCAACATTTTGAGGAGCAAATCGCTGTGAATGTTGCATTTAAGAGACTTGAGATGAGCCCAATCAGACTTCACTGTATCCTTTGCGAGCCTGTTGCCACATACAGTATTGTGCCGAGCGGGGTTGGTGTGTGTGACAATCAGCCCCAGCAGTTAATGTGTATTTAAATAGACATTGTCTCCTAAATGCAGCTTTATTTTTTTCAGGAATCTGTAGGCTCTTATTTATATATATATTTTTTTTTGTAATTTGGGGGCCCAAAGCCAAGATAGTGAGATCAGAATTTTTTTTTGGTAACATACTCACATCATGTAACTTGATCTCATCATCTCAGGTTTTGGGCAGGTGTGATACCGCTTTGGCTACCGTGCGCAAGCGTGATGTTGGTGGGTGTGGTCCAAAGAATGCTCAGGGACTTTATGTGAATGATGAGACACATGGAAAATCAATGAGAAGCTTGCTTCACAGGAGAGGTCGGCAAAGCAAAACTGCTCCATATGTGGAATGACGGACTCATTGAGCTCAACAAAAGAACTTAGAACGACATTGCAAAGAACTGCTGGCATTACTTGACTCACATTTGCCAAAAAAAACAACTTTAAACTTTTGGAGAAAAAAAAAGTACTAACGAGACAAAAGTTGAGCTTTTTGCGAAATATGCACTCCAACGTGTTGGTGGCATTGTGATGAAATTCCTTTGTCTAGCAGAAAATCAAAAAACATCTGGACATCACTTTGGGTACTCAAGGACATCAAGTGCTCAAGCTCAGCAGGAAAACGACCCAAACTTACCAACAAGTCTACCTCTGAATGACTCCAGGAAAAAAAAAAAGAAAAAAAACGAGACAAAATAACTTGAAGGTTTCAAAGTGGTCAAGTCAAAGTCTAGACTTAAAATGCAATCATGACGCTGTGTATATGACCATAAACCTGCAGTTTAGGCTCGAAAACCCTCCACTATGATCAAGTTGAAACAATGCTGCAAGGGCCTAAATTCCTCCACAGGGATATGAAAGATATCAACAGTTATGATAATTGCTTGATTTCAGTTGTTGCTGCCAACCAGGTATTAGGTTCAATGGGCAATTCGTGTTTTACAAAGGGACAGGTCGGCTTGGTTTTCTGTTTCCTGAATAAATAAAAATCACAGCAGTTTACTTGGGTTGTTTTCTTGGGATATGAAAATTGTTTTGATGATCTGAAACATTTATGTGTGATAACAATTCAAAAAAACCCAAAACAAAACATCAAATCAGTTATAAAATAACACCTACCCCTCTGCACAATGCCTGGTACTGAACAATTACAAACACTTTCTCTTCCACAGTCCAACAAACTCACACTGAGCTATAGTAAGCAAAACTACACATACACAAAGTCATTTGGGCATTACTGGGCACAGAAGTGAACAAATAATCGGCTTTGTGATATTCCTACAATGACATTAAAGATAGAAATCCCATTACCCTCTATTATACATCTGTTCCGTCCAGCCTCCCTCTAGTTGAGAACAATCACTGAGGATGACAGAAAAATGATGACAGAAAAAATGACGAAGACCTTTCCAGTCTAATCCACCGGCTTCAAAAAGCCTTGCCAAATGCATTACCTCACATAACCCTCTGCCGTACCATCACTGCTGTGTCACATACTCTGCACACCAACCCTCTGTAGCAATTACACTCGGTGGCCAGAGACTAAAATAATAATACTTATTTGTTTGCCTGTGAGAAACACTGGCGGAAGAGGCACTCCCCATCGTGAAATTCACGACAATGAAAATAATACAATATGTAACCAACCACTGAACCCTTCAAAGAGACATGACATTGACACACATGATGTGATTTCAAGGGCAACATAAAATTATGTCGCTGGCCGGATCTGGACCCCCGGACCTTGAGTTTGACACCTGTGCTGTGCGGGACAAGAATATTTCAACACTGGTTAGGAAACTGAGGCTTTCTTAAACAGATTAATACTTGAATCAAAAACAAAATGAGGACATTGAGACAGTCCTCCAAAAGACAATGAACCACCAGGTGAGTGATTGCTGACTCAACAATGAGTCAACAATGAAAAAATTAAGAGACGTTCATTGAGATGAGATCGTACCCATGACAATGTGTCATGAGAATTGGAAATGAACATGCTCATTTCAAAAGTTTGAGTTTTGAAGGATAAAATGACACTAGCATGTAACTACTGGTAGTTTTGTATTTAGTCATGGAAAATGTGGGTCATTCAGGATATAAAGTTGACAAGCTTGAGACTTTAAAATAGACGACAGGTACGATCATTTCCAGAGACAGTTGAAAGGAAGCTAGCAAGCCACAGTGTTTCCCATGCAATGTCTGCCTCAGTTACTTATTCTTAAACTTCTATGTAACTTATTTTATATTCTTACCCAAGCCAATCGTTAGTCATCATCAAGAAAGAAAGATAGAAAGAAAGAAAAAAGAAAGCAAGAAAACTAGAAATGTTTACAAGTCTTGTGACCGAGCATTAAAATATACTGATAGAGGAAAACATTTTTTTTTATGCACTCTATATATTTTCTGTCAGATCAATATAAAATGTTTGCACTTCAGATTACAGCATGATCCAGCAAAGATAACAAGTGAGCACTAAAAGAAGTGCAGTAGGCAACACATTTTTGGTGCAGAGAGAATTCCAACACTGACGGAATTGGTGCCACATGGAGTGTTGTGAGGACAATCACACATGACAGCAACAGCTTGAGAACAAGCGCAAAGACACACAGATACAATATATTGGACGTCCAACTCACATTGCCATGGTTGATGAAACCGTGTTCCTTTGCGATACGGTCAGCCTCCTCGGGGCCTCCATTAATCTGGACGGCCCAAGCATTGGTGTAAACCTCTGCAGTATCAATCCAATTCAGTTCTGATGACAGGACAAGGACTGTCCATAAGTGCAGCAGAGCCACCTGGGCATCCATGAAAAGTAGAACGCAGGGCAGTGTATCCGTGGGTCTCTCACTGCGTCACAGGCAAACTGGAGCTGCACTCCCTTGTGGCGGTAAAGTGGAACAGTGACCTAGAGGTGACAGAACAGAGTGAGCGAAAAAGACAAACGTTTTCTTAACGGCATCCCTGCTGGCTCAGAATTATCGGTACCCTCTCACACCAAATTCAAAACCGAACAGCACAGGCACAATTTTATGAGGCCATGGTCGGCAGTAAAGCTTTACATTACTTTACAACTGTTTCAATAAATATGTAGGGCATAGTTAACCCATATACAGTTGCGGTGATGAATATAAAATGTACATCCCTTATTATTTCTAAATACAAGCATTGGGTGTACTAGTTTGAGTTACCATTTTTTTTTGTATTGAATGTAATTACTATTTTTTATTGCAGTGCTAATTAAAATCACTCAAGCAGAAATTAATTTATGATTTGCTGTAGTCCACGCCGTTTTAAAATTTAACAGCTTAAACTATATGATACTTGCAATCATTACTCATTAATAGACCCCGGAGGAGAAATTTCAAAATGTCAAGATGTGGTACAGCTCCAATAATATTTGATTAAATGTTTCACCTTGATCAAACACTGTAAGTGGCCATCGAGAAGCTTCTGTCATGATTTTTGCTGAATCTTTGCTTGTTCTTGACAGAATTCACTCATTGACAGTGGGGATGAAAAGTCTGCACACAGTGTCGAAATGTCAGGTTTTTGTCGTTCAAAAAAATGAAAACAAAATCCATTTTTTAAAAACTTTTTCCATCATTACTGTGACGCAAACTGGTAAAATTAAACTTGAGAAAAAAATGATCTATTTCTGAGATTTCTGAGAGGTGAAGTAAAATTATCAGGTGAAATATTGTGGTTATACAAGAGTGTGTGTGCGTGTGTGTGTGTGTGTGTGTGTGTGTGTGTGTGTGTGTGTGTGTGTGTGCGTGTATGCGTGTGTGTGTGTGTGTGTGTGTGTGTGTGTGTGCGCAACGCACATTATTGAAATGTCACTGCTAAGTAAATCATAATTTTGTGAGTGATACATTCTTGGAAGCGTTCATATTAAACATATATATAAAACACACACCCGCTATTCTTAAAATATAATTTTTTTAAGGATAGGGCTCCGCCGTTGACCATTGTCAACAGCAAAACATGTTCTGCAAGTTACTAGCGTTATGTACTGATCACGTGCAAGATGTCAGGTATGGGTGACTGTCTTGACTATTATGACTGAGAGGTTGCAAATGCAGCATTTTCCATTCAGTCAACAGCAAAATGTGATGTGGCAGTGAGAAAAAGGGTTATTCTTTGTCACATGTTACATGCTTCCCGTGAGATCAGCTTATAGTTTTTTTTTTTCCTAAGTCAACTAACAGTCAAGCAAGCAATGCTGTTAAAATTGTAACTTGCTGGCTTAGGAGATGTAGGTAGGTAGCACAACATAACCAGCACTGAAGTTCTATTTCAGGCTGTGCCCAAGCCAAATCAACACCCACCATGTGCTTTGGGCTGTCCTCCAAAAGAATGCACAGCAGTATGTTGCAGTGATGGTGCAGAACTTTGACAGGTGAGCATCCATTCATAAGAGTAGATGGAGCTCAGGGTGACAGAAAAAAACCAACATATTGCGCTGTGCTCAGTCAGGACACAGTAGTAGCAAAAGAGCCTTTGTCTGAGATGAACGGGAAATTGAGTGACAGCACTGAGATTAAATTTCTCTTCATCAAAACCATTTTTTCCTCTTACTGCTTTAGACAGTGGGAACTCCAGATAGAAATGCAGTCTAGAAACAATGGTTACCGGGGAGATCCATGTACAGTTCTTTTTTATAAAACACTATTCACACATTATTGTCACTGAGAACTTACCCTAACGGAATCTTGTCTTCCTACATTGTTCTCTGTAGCTTGACTATGTTGTGCCTCTGATAAATACTGTCTGATTCCAAGAAACCTAGAGCTGAATTTTAATCTGCATTGCTGAAACCTTTTCATGGAGGAATTAACACATGATGAGGCGATGTCAAGGGTGAATCGATAATACTGTAAAAATAAAAGTAGCTTTTCTCGATAAATAAATATGGAGCAACTGTATGAATATGTATGCAGTGCAATATACAGAATGTGTGTTCCAAATCAAATGGGATCTGACATTAAATCAATTTTTAAAAAGCCACATCACTTGAATATTACAGTGTATGTCGATGCTATGAGCCTCCATAAATTACTGCTAAGGCCAAATCTTGAATTCTAACTGTCGAGCTATGGTGACCTTGACCCCTAATATCAACATGCATACTGAAAGGGGAGGAAACAGATCTACAATGATTGCCCAAAGGCCATTTAAATTTTTTGTCTGATTTTGTTTTCCGCACCTCACAATTTAAGAGATAGCTACCATTGTAAAAATATAGTTGTTTTTTTTTTTTGTGGTGGTGGTGGTGGTGGTGGTGGGGGGGTCGGTCAGGTTGGATTTTCTGCATATCTAGTGTACAGTGAATTTTACTTAATATCAATTCCCACTTCACTGAGATGAATGCAAATGATGAGGGAGGTGGTTATAGCATGGCGTGGATAATGATGTGGGAAAATTAATGCACATCTGACAGAAGCTGAGAAGGGTGGATGTACTGGGCAAATAAAGCCATGAATCAGAAATTGGCGATATGCAACGGAAACATATATACATATATATGGACAAGGGACTGAGTCTTACCTCCAACAAACTTCAGAGGACGCACCGCGGAGAGCGGTTCCCTTGGAAGAACGAGGTACACCTGCACCGGATCACATCGCCTGGAATCGAGACTGGGAACGGATTCACTTGACTGGGCAGACTGGTGAGATGCTTGTCGGCAGCTGTGTTACCGATTTAAGGCTAAAATACAATTGAGCTTTCTACTAACCCTTCGTTTGCTCCCACCCACTTTTCCATAGCGACCCACCCTGTGGGGAACACGTTTTACTCGTAGTTTCAACAACAAAAAGCCACTCGTACCATGTCACGTCAAAATCCAAGACGTCATGCCTACCCATCCCCTTCTCCAGTCGGGTGAGTACTGATTCTTTCTCTCGCCACTTGCCGTTTAACTTAAAATCGATATTGCCGGCTCAAGACGTTATCCACATCTTTGGATTGGAGATCTAATGCTAGCCTGTCGTCCACAACCAACTTGCCATCTTCAGGATGATTCTATTTTGCCGGGTGACTTCAAGCTTCGAAAGCAATTCCTTCTTCCATTACAGTCAATACCCCTTGCTCATAAGACAGAGTTCCACATAGGTTAACTAGACAGTGACAAAGCGGGTGAATGGAAGCTGCGTGGAGTCAGCGCAGGATGCAAGCGCGTTGACAACCGGCTGAATGACAACAAACCTTCTCCTTTGTCCAGGAAATGCGTCACTTAGACGGTATCCAGAGCGTGCTTGATTCGGGTCACCGTAATTGTTGGAAGGGGCGGGGCTTGAGCCTGTTTTATGTTCTGCGCTTCATGTTTTTGTCATCTTTATACCCGGATTTTTTTTCTTGCTGAATGTTGACTCATGTGTTATCTGTAGTCACATATTAATATATAAGAAGAATTAAGATAAGTCCTTTATTAGTCTCAGAGAGAGAGAGGCTGGAAATTGAATTTAATTACATTAGTGTTACAGCGGTACAGGGTAAAACAGCAGGATTGAAAAAATAAAATAAAAAAGGTAGCACAACACAGTTATACACTTTTTTTTTGGGGGGGGGGGGTCTCCCGGACACCCCGCTTTTCT